GGCACTGGGGACCCCATGTGGGGACACCTTGGGGACACTCTGGGGACACCCTGGGGACACTCTGGGGAGGGCACCTGGCACTGTGGCTGTCCCCTTGGGCACTGAGGACCCCGTGTGGGGACGCCCTGGGGTCCCAACAGGGCCAAGGTGGTGGGAAGGCCACCCTGGAGGCTTGGGACCTTCTGGGGATGAGGATCTCCATCCTGTGGGGACAAGGGGGTGTCCCCACCCAATGGGGACAAGGGGACTTCTCCATCCTGTGGGGCCAAGGGGGTGTCACCACCCAATGGGGATAAGGGGGTGTCTCCACCCAATGAGGACAAGGGGACTTCTCCATCCCATGGGGCCAAGGGAGTGTCTCCACCCAATGGGGACAAAGGGACCTCTCCATCCTGTAGGGCCAAGGGGGTGTCCCCACCCAATGGGGACAAGGGGACTTCTCCATCCTGTGGGGCCAAGGAGGTGTCTCCACCCAATGGGGACAAGGGGACCTCTCCATCCGTGGGGCCAAGGGGATGTCCCCACCCAATGGGGACAAGGGGACTTCTCCATCATATGAGGCCAAGGGGGTGTCCCCACCCAATGGGGACAAGGGAGTGTCTCCATCCTGTGGGGACAAGGGGACTTCTCCATCCCATGGGGCCAAGGGAGTGTCTCCACCCAATGGGGACAAAGGGACCTCTCCATCCTGTAGGGCCAAGGGGGTGTCCCCACCCAATGGGGACAAGGGGACTTCTCCATCATATGGGGACAAGGGGATTTCTCCACCCAATCGGGCCAAGGGCCCTTCTCCATCATATGAGGCCAAGGGGGTGTCCCCACCCAATGAGGACAAGGGGACTTCTCCATCATATGAGGCCAAGGGGGTGTCCCCACCCAATGAGGACAAGGGGACTTCTCCATCATATGGGGCCAAGGGGTATCTCCACCCCATGGGGACAAGGGGACCTCTCCGTCCATGGGGACAAGGGCCACCTCATTCCATGGGGACAAGGGCCCTTCTCCATCCATGGGGACAAGGGCCACCTCATTCCGTGGGGACTTGTCTCCTGCTGGGCGCAGGGCCCCGGTGACCCCTTCCCACCGTTCCGCAGGCATCGAGCTGGCCAGCGAGGAGGAGGAGCAGGAGGAAGACACGTCCCTGCGGCAGCGGCTCCTGGGGCTGGTGCAGAAGGTGGTCGGGCGCCGCAAGAAAGCGGCCGCCGAGGAGGAAGAGGAGAAGGAGGCAGCGCCCGAGGAGCCCCCGGTGCCCAGTGCGTGGCGGGACCCATGGGGACACCGGTGTGTCCCCACGGTGGTGGCTGAGCCCGCGGTGTCCCCAGGCTCGCTGCAGGAGCTCATCTCGCAGACCATGGTGCACTGGGCGCAGGAGGCCTTCATCGAGAGCCCCGAGCTGGTGCGGGCCATGTTCAACCTGCTGCACCGGCAGTACGACGGGCTGGGCGAGCTGGTGCGCGCGCTGCCCAAGGCCTACACCATCAGCGCCGTGTCCGTCGAGGACACCATGAGCCTCCTCGAGTGCCTCGGCCAGATCCGCTCGCTGCTCATCGTGCAGATGGGCCCCGAGGAGGAGAACCTCATGATCCAGAGCATCGGGTGCGCGGGGCCCCCTGTCCCGGGGCAGCCCTGGCCCTCCTGCGTCCTTCCCTGGGCCTCCTGCATCCCCTATGGGCCTCCTGCATCCCTACAGGCCTCCTGCATCCCCCCTGGGCCTCCTGCATCCTTCCCTGGGCCTCCTGCATCCCGCACGAGCCTCCTGCATCCCTCCCGGGCCTCCTGCATCCCTCCCGGGCCTCCTGCATCCCCTATGGGCCTCCTGCATCCCCTATGGGCCTCCTCCATCCTTCCCTGGGCCTCCTGCATCCCTACAGGCCTCCTGCATCCCCTATGGGCCTCCTCCATCCATCCTGGGCATTCTGCATCCTTCCTGGGCTTCCTACATCCCTTCTAGTCGTTCTGCATCCTCCCTGAGAATCCTACACATCCATGGGCCTCCTGCATCCTTTCCTGGGCCTCCTGCATCCCCTATGGGCCTCCTCCATCCATCCTTGGGCCTCTACATCCTTCCTGGGCTTCCTACATCCCTTCTAGTCGTTCTGCATCCTCCCTGAGAATCCTACACATCCATGGGCCTCCTGCATCCTTTCCTGGGCCTCCTGCATCCCCTATGGGCCTCCTCCATCCATCCTGGGCATTCTACATCCTTCCTGGGCTTCCTACATCCCTTCTAGTCGTTCTGCATCCTCCCTGTCCTGCATCCTTCCCTGGGCCTCCTGCATCCCTCCCGGTCATTCTGCATCCCTCCTGGGCACCCTGCACCCCTGGGTGCCCCATATCCCCCCTCAATGTCCTCCCGCCCCCCACATCCCACGTCCCCAAGGTGCCCTCACCCGCCCCCCGCTGTCCCCACGGCCGTGACCCTCGTGTCCCCTGCAGGAACATCATGAACAACAAGGTCTTCTACCAGCACCCCAACCTCATGCGGGCGCTGGGCATGCACGAGACCGTCATGCAGGTCATGGTCAGCGTGCTGGGCGGCGGCGAGTCCAAGGTGAGCGTCGCGTTGTCCCCAAGGCCACCCCCCGGTGTCCCCGGCACCTCTTAATGTGTCCCCTTGCTGTCCCCAGGGCCGGATGGCGCCGGTGTCCCCGCAGGAGATCCGCTTCCCCAAGATGGTCACCAACTGCTGCCGCTTCCTCTGCTACTTCTGCCGCATCAGCCGCCAGAACCAGCGCTCCATGTTCGACCACCTGGGCTACCTGCTGGAGAACAGCAGCATCGGCCTCGGTGACGCCGCTTGTCCCCAAAGTGTCCCCAATGTGTCC